AAACACAAGGACCGAGAAGAATTTGTATTGTTCGGCAGTTAAAATCAATACTCTGTACAAAGTCTATAAACAAATGTTTTACAAGGAATGTATTGTACTTTTATTCGTGTTCTTTCGTCTTCTTCTTTCAACTTGTACACGATTGAATCATTCGCACCTTCGAGTTGCCCGCCAATGGCGACCAAGGCCAATGAACCAACGTTCAATGTTCACATTCATTTACAAAGAGCATAGTTATGTTTGCGTTCTACCTCCTGTTTTTTTAAGTGGTAGAATATAGTGGGTATTACTGGGATTGTGTGTCAGTGGCACAGCGGTAGAATGCTTGCCGACCACGTCTCATGTGGTTCGGGATTCGATCCTCAGCCGACTCCCTCTTTTACCTCGCTAAGGCAGTCATAAGACTGGTAAGAGGGAAAGTTGGGTATGAGGCTAGCAATCACACCACGTGAAAATAAACGCCACTGCTACCGAAACTTCAAGCCTCTAGCCTGAAGGCGCCCTATGTTCCACTGGGAACGTAGAGGAATCAACAAAAATTACTGAGATTTGATGTAGGGTGTTTAATGCCTTCCCAGATGACTGAAATAGCTAGTTAGAGTTTGGCTAGTTTAAATGGATTCCTCTATGTAATCTGATACACTCGACCACAAACGATTGAAGGGACCATTTGTTTGGCTAACAAGTACTCTGGTTTTCGAATAGTATTCCTATCATTGAGGGTCTTATATTATGTGTTTTCGTTAGTGTAACCTTTGACTGATTCTAAATACCGTTTGGACTTCAAGCCCACGAGTTAAACATTTGATCTGATCATATCTAATTATTTTTCATCACTTCATTAATGGGTTCATCTCGAATTGGGAATCTCCATTTCCCATGTGTATAACCACGAACTATCCACTGAAGCGAGAAACTCATGTTCCACAAACCTTGAATCTTTTATTATTTGTTATTTGTTCAACGGTCATTTCTCGTAGATGTACTAAAATGGTAGAGTAAAGTAATTTACAGGAATATAACTCGTAACTCAGTAACTCATCGAAGAAGACATTGCGAAATGGTCGCGCTATGTCGTGAATTGGCAGAAGTTAGAATTCAAGGACCATTGGATCGGGTCCCAGTGGCTCAATGGTCTACGAGCTCGCCTTGTAACCAGAAGGTCCTGGGTTCGAGTCCCGGTGGATGCGTACTGATGAAGAGCCCCAAACTAGGACGAAACAGCTGTCCAGTACTCCCAGGTTTTCCTATGGTTCTCTAACTAATGTCAGCTCATGATGAAATCCTCCATGCAATATAATTCGTAAGCCAACAACTATCGCTTTCATTATATTATTAGTATTGTTCCCTTGCATTCCAAGCGAAATGTCACATCTCTATAGCAGCTTGTTTATTAGATGTATCACACAGCCACAGAAACAGTATTATTTACTGGATGACAGAGTTTCGAACAAATTCACTCACGGTTCATAATCATATCCATTATAATCACATGACTTCAAAACTTGAGTTATATAGTTTTCTCTTTTCTCCCCTATTTGTCGTCGTTAGGATAGTAGAATTTTTTAGGTATCTGGGTGGACAGGTGTTGAATCATTCCTATTACACGTATTCCCTCTCAGTTGATTCGATAAACAAAGCTTCTGTTATCAATCTCTCCCTCCATTACCCTGCTGTTACATTAGATTTTAAAACTGTCATCTTATCCCATCCATCCTATCGTATGGCTGGTTGTGTGTAATTGCATATTTTGATTGCAATAGCTGAACTATTCTCTAGATTTCTTGTCGTATTCGGGTCAACTAATCTAGAATTCGCTAGTCTCTTGTACTGCTGTGCTAGTCTCACTGACTGACGCCGTTCTACTACTTTGACCTATGTATTAGACTTGACAATGATAGATAAACTAAATTGTTTTGTTTTAAAGGCTCCACAAAACCCTTTAACCGATACAGCTTGTTTCTTATTGAGTTTGTGGGTGATTGAATGCCACTTTTATTCCTGCCTTTAGTTTATCTAATACCCTGTCTGCAATGATTGTCAGGTTAAATACATAGGTCAAACAAGTAGAACAGCGGCAGTCAGTGAGACTAGCGAAGCATAAAAACCTAGCAAAATCTAGATTAGTTGATCCAAATAAGATAAGAAATCTAGAGAATAGTTCAGCTATTGCAATCACAATATGCAATTACACACAACACAGCCGTACAATAGGATGACAGTTATAAAATCTAATTTAACAGCAGGGTGGAGGGAGAGATTGATAACAGAAGCTTTGTTTATCGAATCAACTGAGAGTGAATGCATGTAACAGGAATGATTCGTCACCTGTCCCAGATATCTGGAAAGTTCTACTACCCGAATGACGACAAATAGGAGAGAACCAAGAAAACTATAAAACTCAAGTTTCGAAGTCGTGTGATTATAATTCGTGATATGATTATGAACAATAAATTTTGTTTGTAACGTCATCCAGTAAATAATACTGTTTCTGTGACTGTGTGATACATCTAATAAACAAACTAATATGGAATTACTTACTACCACCACAGTGCCCAAGTTTTACACATACATTAATATCAAGTCTCCATTTTGTCCTATTTTCTGCGGTCCTCTTTAACTGGCCCCATGATTGCCCATAGTCTTTCATCTCCTGCATATCACCCTCGGACACACCTTGATCTCGTCACTTCTCTTTGGGAGCCCACTCGATCGATGGTCTGACGCGCGATATCACCTGACAGTCTCCCCTGTGTTTGTCCAATCGATCTTCATTTTCTTCTGCATGTTTGTTGAGTAATACGTTCTTGGTTGGTTTGTTCCTATAGTTTCTAACACCGACGTACACGTATTTATTGTATCTTTCCACCCCAGTACGTTTCATATGGAACACAGGGCTCTAAGCTCGAGCTTTGAATTTTTAGCACTGGTGATGCTGGTATCGTTTTTACGGGGTGGGTTGCTAGTGTCACACCCAACTGTCTCTCTTTTTCTAGTTTACTGGTTTACCTATTTGAGGTTTTGGAGTGTGTCGACCGGTAATTTGAACCCGGAACATCTATCTGTCTGTCTGGTGAACATTCTATCGTTAGGCCACCGAAGCACACGTGTTTTGCTTCACAGGTTGTTGAAAATTTTAGACATTTCTTCAGTTTATGAAGAACTTAGATGGTTTGCATTGGTTATTCAATGACTTTGAAATTTATGAGTGATCTAGTTTACTGCATTGAAATGATTTATAATTCATGCAATTGTCCAATCAAATTATACAACAAGATCAGTCTCATTACACTGAAAAAAATGATGTTTTTCAGTTGCTGTTGTCTGTTCCACTGGGATCTAGGATGTGGGTTCTTTGCTATTCATAATTTCATCATCTGAATGCTTCTGCATCCCCACTGAATGAAAACCTACCTGAGTACACCTACCCAGGCTATTGTGGAGAGGAAAATCAGAGCTAATGGGTATTCATATAGCCAGCAAAAGAGGACTTCACAAGAAACTATGACTTTGCGATGTGCCAATGGGTTCCTATGTTCCACATAGGAATATAAGTATAAAACTTGGGCACTGTGGTGGTAGAGTATAACTCAATTATGGATAAGATTTTATTTTGATAAATCACACAGTGGGGTTATACAGTAATATTAACTGATGACCGCGTTTCGAGCACAAACTATCACTGCTCATAATCATATCAAGTCACTCACTCACACAACTCTCTTGCTTCATTTATATACATGAGTGAAATTGATGATTAGACATTTGAATAAAAATCAATATAGGATAATGTACATTCAGAAATAATAATATGAGTGTTATCAATCAAATACAATCAGATGGGAAATAAGACGAGTGTTTTTATAGTCAAAATAAATAAGTAACTTCTTAGAATGTTATGATGTACGTGAATTGAATTGAAATAGAATTTTGAGATTATTTATTATCCTCCTCTGATTTCACTGACTGACTGGTGGTAATAATATCTTCTGGTATTTGCGTTGAATCACTTCTATTGCACTTGTTGGGTTTAGACTCGATGAACCAGGTAGGATTCAGTAATCAATCTCTGTCTCCACCTGCATAGATTACTTCTTAGAATCTTAACCCTCTCCCACAAAGGAACCTAAAGGAGAATAATAATGTTAGGCTGAAAATGATTAAACCGTTGAAATGAGTTACTTTTACTTACTTTACTTCGGCTATCTCCTACGACAGGATGAGCCGGCTTCATGAACATCTCGAATCATCGCTGCCCAGGCGCGGCGATCTGATGCAAGGTTTTGCGACACGGTTGTCCAATTCTTGTTCCACAGACGGAGTCAGTAGACGGTTTGTAGCCCCAGGCACTCCATATCAGCCTTGACTGTACCTCGTTTGTAAGAAAGTTCATGAAGTTTCACGGGAATTTGGTACGAGTGATGTCCCCAGAATCGCTCGGCCTTTTGTTTGAGAGTGCAGCTCTAGCCTTTACACAACCAAGTGTGACCTACAAGGCAGTAGGAGTGGAGTAGGGAGTCCACTATCCATTGGCAGCCGGTGACCGGAGTTCGGTTCATACGCCTTTTTGAATGGGGCCAGACATCCAGGACATCCAACAAGCCCTTTGTCCATACGTCTGCCGGTGAGCTTCAGTGAGCTTCATACGCCAGTCGTTGGAGGTTTGGAATCAGGGTTTAGCCATCTCCCCTAGACTGTCATGCAATGGACAGTCAACCCGGTGAAGAGGGCAGGGCATCCGCTTTCGCCCTCTCACTTTGGTGAAAAACACCTCCGCCACGTGAAGGCAGTGAGTAGGACTTCCTCAGGAGAGGCTATGTAAGACGCCCGGTCATATGGGAGCATTTCAAGAGGTGTGCGAAGGGGTGGCCAACCCGCAGCGCAAGGCACCCACCCCCGACCATCCTGAGGCTTTGGAGGCTCTCTCTTACTCTTGTTTTACTGAGTATTTCGTTACATCGTGTCTCTTATTATTTTTGTTTTTCTTCCGTTTTCTCTAGACTAATGCAAAAGTATTTCAGAAAGAAACAAAGAATTTCTGTCAATATCTTGAAAAGTATACCTCAATCAAATCTAAAGAATACACAGAAGATGTAAGTAGCTGCGTAAAGACAAAATAATTTTTTTCAGACATCTATAAAACACAAAATAATTGAGCAAAGAATATCCTTTTTGATAATTTCCTCTTCCAGGCTCTACAATTATATATATATATATATATATATATGTTTATATACACAGAATATTCTAGAATAGTAGTCAATAACAATATAAGTGTTTTTTTACATAACATCGATTTTTAAAGTATGATCAATGGAATTACAGTTCATTAAAGATTCTTAAATTATGATAATAGCAAAGATATAGTATCAAATAGAATATCAACTGAAATGAGGCGATTTCCACAACGCCTATGGAATACGGTGGTAAAAGGAGCATTCCCTTCTGCCGAATTACGCTATGTTTGCAAAACCACCCACTCCTATTTTGCGTTCGGGAGTGAAAGATAAACTGCCTAATTTCGCCTCTTCCATGGGTATCCACCAATTCAACTGCTCCCGTAGAGCCAGTTACATAAGCTGTGCAGTTAGGCGTGTTTCTCGTTGGACTTTCGAACATCACCCTTCGTGGTTGGTTGGGTAAAGGACAAACAAAATCTGTTCACATAGCGCTTTTCTATATCATCTTGTGGATACAGAACACAAGATTGCTGTTAACGAGGAGGCTTTCAGAGTCATTTACCACAGAATGACCAACAAATCTTAACTTCGCCTTAAAAGTTCGACTACTAAAGCCATATTGCTGAGGCTTGCAGTTGGGATTCGTTGAATTTTCCTCATTTTAGTTGATATTCTATTTTCTATTATATTTTTATGCTTATTATAATTTAACCATCTTTAATGAACTGTCTGTAATTCCATTGTGATCTTACTTAACAAATCGATATTATTTAAAAAAAACCACTAATATTGTTATTGACTACAAATCTAGAATATTCTATGTATATAAACATATATATGCATAATTGAAGAGCCAGAAGAGGAATTTATCGAAAAGGATATTCTTTGCTCAATTATTTTGTTTTTAATAAAATAATTTTTTATGTATTTCTTGTTTTTATTACCGTGAAAAAAGATGTTCATCATAAACTTTTGTTTCTGTAAAAAATGAATACCAAATGTGTGTATCAGTTTTTTTTAAAGTGACTTAGTACTCTTAGAATGGATCCAGAGATATCAGCGGACCTGATGACACCACTACTGGAGAAGGTATGGAAGGAGGGGAAAGTACGTGGGGATTGGAAGAAAGGCTACTTATTCAAACTGCCAAAGAAAGGAGACTTAAGTCAATGCAAGAATTGACGCGGCATTATGCTGCTGTCCATCCCAAGCAAAATACTAAGCCGCATCATCCTGGAGAGAATCAAACACGCCGACCTGGATGAAAAACTTCGACCGGAACAGGCGAGATTCAGGAGAAACAAGTCATGCATTGATCAAATTGCAGCACTATGGATCATCATTGAACAGAGCTTGAGAATGGCAGTCACCTCTCTGTCGCAACTTCATTGACTTTGAAAAGGCCTTCAGCAGACAGCGTCAATCGAGAGGTGATTTGGAAACTGCTTCACTACTACGGGGTGCCGCCAGTGGCTAAATTATCCAACCTAATCATTGAAAGAGAAGCCTGTGTACTTAACCAGAAAGTGTACAGAATGGAACATTGACCCTGATTAAATATCCCCTTAGATTCAGTGGAATATGTAGTAGTGTAACGACAGAAGACAAGGGCCAGCCAAACAGATCGTTTATTGAGAAAATCAACAGATATTTATAGATTTTTATGTACATTATTATTAGCGTTATTGTTAGCAGAGAAACAGCGTCTTCTGATTGGTTGTTTTCTTGCTAAAGGTTAATGTCATCTCTTTGTGGCCGTTTCTTTGAAGTTCAGACCATATATCTGCGAATCGTATCCGCCCACGCAAAGTCTGCTGTGATTGGTTGTTGAGTTAGTCTTTGTTCTTGCTCTTTTCTCATGACCCCGATTTGGGATGTAAACATTGACGTAAATTGCTGTCTACCAATTTCGGCTAGCAGACAGCTCTCACCACAGTAGGACTCCTGAAACACAGGAGTTGTAGCATAAAACAAGCAAATCAATTAAAATTGTCAATATTAGAAAGAAATGATAATTAAAAGTTGATGAGTCGATTTTTTGACAGGAATGTCATCAGGCTGACATTTAACTTTATGAATCTACTCACAGACTACCTTTGTCTACATAAAGATCTTACCTATTCAACTTAAAGTACTATTTTGATGATTCGTTGACCAGCGTTAGCTGACATATAATTCAATTGGAAAAGATTTTTGCGTGGTCAAATCAAATCCGTGCATCGAATCCATGAAGTCTTTGACACTTAGATTGAGTTAGTCGTGTGAGGAGTTGTAGTCCTCCTGACTGGAATCTCTCTGCGGTAATCAGTCCTCATGTTTTTCCGTGTTACTATTCTTCCTCCCATACACTTTTGCTCCTTATAGTTCCTGTGAATTCGTATTTTCTTTTCTTTTCCCTACCTTTGTGTGGTACATGGTTTATGCGAAGTTGAACTGGCTCACTTCTGTGCAAAGCTGTATGTTGAATGCATCTACACAATCAATTGCGATGCATTTTGAGCTATATCTCCAATATTCTACAATCATTGATTCTTAGTCTCTAAAGAATTCCGCTCATGTGTTCTACACCTCCCTATTTGGCTCAAGCCGTCATATATTCATCTGATTACCACTGTGGTGAGAGCTGTCTGCTAGCCGAAATTGGTAGACAGCAATTTACGTCAATGTTTACGTCCCAAATCTCGGTCATGAGAAAAAAATCAGAACAAAGACTAACTCAACAACCAATCACAGTAGACTTTGCGTGGGTGGATACGATTAGCAGATATATAGTCTGACCTTGAAAGAAATGGCCACAAAGAGATGACAGAATAACCTTTAGCAAGAAAACAACCAATCAGAAGACGCTGTTTCTCTGCTAACAATAACGCTAATAATAATGTACATAAAAATCTATAAATATCTGTTGATTTTCTCAATAAACGATCTGTTTGGCTGGCCCTGTCGTTACACCACTACCTCTTCTTCAGTGTAATCCTATTTCGGTTATCATTTCTCATAGAGATAGACGTTGACTGGATGCCACCTAACACATGTCCTATCCATCTGGATCGATCCAGCTTCACAAGCTCATTAATTCAGATCCCATTCTTGGCTATCTTCATTAAAACTGACCATATTGTACTGTCTAAACAGGAGAGATTGAATAAAGACACGCGTATCTGGAAACTTTCCTTATTACAAACACTAGTTTATTAATATGAAATTAACATTTTCATATACTTTTAGTTTCGTTCGAGAGAAATTTCATGTCTTATGCGGACTATATCGTTTTCTTCTTTTTTTGTTTGTTTCCTCTTCAACAGAATGATGCAAAAATGATTCAAGAGCGTAAAAATTATATCAGTAAAGCATTTGAATATATTTCGAATATAAATGAAGCGCATGAATTGAAGAAATCGAAATTTGTTCAGACAGTAAGCCGTGTTTTTTGAATGTTGCCTACTTGTTTTTTTAATTGGTTTTACATTTCTACTTTTAACGTGTTTTTTTTTATCGTCTATCGGAGATGCTTGTTTCACTGATGAATATCGTTACATGTTTATACTGCCTACAATAGGCACTGAAATGCTGTGTATCTCTAGTTACAACTGTCAAGTATCAAAACAGATGTATAACTCCATTATGGATAAGATTTTATTTTGATAAATCACACAGTGATGTTATACAGTAATATTAACTGATGACCACGTTTCGAGCACAAACTATTACTCCTCATAATCATATCAAGTCACTCACTCACACAACTTTCTTGCTTCATTTATATACATGAGTAGAATTGATGATTAGACATTTGAATAAAATCAGTATACGATTCTTATATCAATGATACTTATGGTCTTCCTACCAGGAAGCTTATCAACAAACTCACACGACTTTGTCAAACTGAAGCAAGATTCACAAATCATCGGATTTTTAACAGTCGATGTTTGAAAAATCATATAATTCCGAAATATTTACGTCTACGTACTCCAATTACTTCAAGTAAAATAACATCAGCTGCCAAAAATGTCAGTAGATTATGTCTAAGAGAAGAATTACATCGAGTTACTGTGAAACTAAATAATTTACGAAATGAAATAGAAAAAGTCAAACACAAACTCAAATATATGATCAATGACAAAGATTATACAATTATTCTTGAAACATCCAAAAAAGCTAGAGAATCTGCATTGAGAAAATCAAAAAACACACAAATCAAAAAATTCAACAAACTTATTGAAGAAAAGAACACAGCAAATGAAATTGATGTTAATGCTTCATCCTCGATCGACAAAACAAAGTGGGTGATCAACCTCTCATCAAGGGAACTAAGCTCCAATGAGATAAAAGTACTGGAGAAAGGACTAAATTTCAACGTAACAGTTAATAAATTAAAACCAGAGGATGTCATTCCTAACATAGAAGTAGCACTAGGTTCAATAGATAAAACAACAGCAGAAGAGGTTCGAGCACAATGTGCATTAACCCTAAAAAATCAAAAGAAGGCAAAATCAAACTTGACAAAGTCGGAAAGAGAAGCTTTAATTAATCTAAAACAGGATAAAAATATTGTCATCGCAAAAGCTGACAAAGGAAACGCCACCATAGTTTTGGATAAATCTGACTACATCAAGAAAGTCAATGAACATATTGAAATGGGTCCATATGAGGAAATTAAGAAGCCCGTAGACACAATAATGAATAAGGTTAAAAAATCCACAGCGGAATTAGTACGCAGAATGAAGCCGTCACTGGGTGAGTCAAAATGGTTTTATTTAATGCCTAAAACTAATAATGCTAGTAGGATGTATGGTACTATTAAAATACATAAGCCAGGTTATCCCATAAGACCAATAGTAGATTTTAGAAATACCCCTACATATGAATTATCAAAACATTTAGCTCTAATGTTATGTCCCATTAGAAATCGTTCAAATTCTAGACTAACTAATTCATATGAAATGAAAAATAAACTAAATGACATACAACTAGATAATGATGAAACAATGGTTAGTTTTGATATAACCAGTCTTTATACTAATATACCAGTCAATATGGCCTTAGAAGCAGTTAAAAAAGAACTAACTGCGGATACTGAACTCAATCATAGGACAAAGCTGTCCATTGAAGAAATTATTTTAGGGGTTCAGCTATGCCTCACATCTACTATCTTTAGATTCCAAGGCAAAATATATAGACAAACTGAAGGTGTAGCAATGGGATCACCAATATCCCCTATCGTAGCAGATATATTTATGGATAGCTGGGAAAATATGGCACTTAATACGTTTAATCCTACTCCAAAAATATGGTGGAGATATGTGGATGACACTTTCACAGTGTTAAAAACAGAACATATCTCTAGCTTCTTGACACATATTAACTCACTAGTAGAGGGGATAAAATTCACATTTGAATCGGAAGATGAACAAGGAGAGTTGGCTATGCTAGATTGTAAAATAAAACGAATAGAAGAAGGTAAACTTCACACTAGTGTGTATAGAAAACCAACGCATTCTAATAGATATTTAGATTTTAATTCGTCGCATCCGTTAACTGTTAAGGCAGGCTTAGTTAAGTGTCTAACAAACCGAGCCATAGCACTAAGTAGCACAAAAAAAGACCTAAACGACGAGATAAAACAGATAGAAGAAGCGTTGGTGTTGAATAATTATCCTTTAAAATTCATTAGGAAGATAACTAAAGGCCAGAAACAAAATAAAAATAAAAATAATTGTGGAACTAGTAATGATAACATAAATAAGAGAGAATATAAGTCATCGACAGTTATACCATATAAAGAGGGGACATCTGAGACCCTACGTAGGATTCTAAATAAAGCAGGAATTAGGGTGGCATTTAAACCTACAAACTCACTCAGGGACAAGCTCTGTAGGTTAAAGGACCCAGTGGACCCAATTAGACAAAATAATATAATTTACAAAATACCCTGCAATGACTGTGAGGTCAACTACATAGGTCAAACTAGTAGGTCAGGAATAGTCAGATTGTCAGAACATAAGAATTTAGCTAAGATAAGAATGGTTGACCCAGAAAAGATAAGTAATTTAGAAAAAAGCTCGGCAATTGCAATGCATGCATTAACACACAACCACACAATAGGGTGGGAGAGGGTTAAAATTCTAAAAAGTAATCTAGGTAGGTGGAGAGAGAGGTTGATTACTGAATCTTTGTTCATCGAATCTACACCCAACACGTGCAATAGGAATGAATCATCACTAATACCCGAAATATGGAAAATAACACTACCAATCAAATCAAGTGGAAATCAAGTGAAAAATAATGGAACTATATAAATGAATTTAGGAAGTCGTGTGATTACCTTGATATGATTATGAGCAATAAATTGTGCTCGAAACGTCATCAGTAAATATTACTGTATAACACTGTGAGACTCTATCAAAATAAAATTTACCCATAATGGAATAATGTACATTGGGAAATAATAATATTAGTGTTATTGGTCACTTACAGTCAGATGGGAAATAAGAAGAGCTAGTAGTGATAATATAAATAAGAGAGAATATAAGTCATCTACAGTGGTTCTACCATGTAAGGAGAGGATATCTAAGACCCTCCTCACGTAGGATTCTCAATAAAGCAGGAATTAGGGTGGTGGCATTCAAACCTACAAACTCACTCAGGTAGGACAACCTCTGTAGGCTAAAAGACCCGGTGGACCTAATTAAACAAAATAATATAATTTACAAAATACCTTGCAATGACTGTGAGTTAAGTCAACTACATAGACCAAACTGGTAGATTGGGGCGGGGTAGTCAGATTGTCGCAACATAAGAATTTAGCTAAGGTTAGAATGGTTGACCCCGAGAAGATAAGTAATTTAGAAAAAAGCTCAGCAATTGCACTGCATGCATTAACACACAATCACACAACAGGGTGGATGAGAGAGGGTTAAAATTCTAAGAAGAAATCTATGTAGGTGGTGAGAGAGATTGGTTACTGAATCCTCCCTGGTTCATCGAGTCTACACCCAACACAACACATGTAACAGAAATGACTCAGTGCAAATAACAGAGATATGCATGGAAGATAATATTGCCACCAGTCAGTCAAATCAGAGGCGAATAATAAATAATCTTGAAATTCTATTTTTCTATTCAATTCACGTTCATCATAACATTCTAACAAGTTACTTATTGTGACTCTAAAAGCGCTCGTTTTATTTCCCATCTGATTGTAGTTGACTGATAAGACTCATATTATTTTTTCCCAAATGTACATTATCTTATATTGATTTTATTCAAATGTCTAATCATCAATTCCATTCATGTATATAAATGAAGCAAGAAAGTTGTGTGAGTGAATGAGTTGATATGATTATGAGTGGCAATAAATTGTGTTCGAAAGGTGGTCATCAGTTAATATTACTGTTTAACAGCACTGTGCCATTCATCAAAGTAAAATCTTATCCATAATGCAGTTATACTCTATTACGGTGCTCAAGTTTTATACTTATATCAATAAAACAGATTTATGTTTACTCATATTAGTAGTGTGTGTCTCATTGGCTTAAATGCTTCTACGAAAGCGGTTAGTTACGCTGCTTCAACGACTTCGAGTTCGTTTCCCATTGGCTTCAACTAGAAATAGTGCTCGTGTTTTCTTTGTTGCCGTCTTTCCTACTAGACCTGAGATTTAGCCACACTATCTGCTGACTCCTTAGCCTGGTCCACTTAACCTGATATCCAGGTTGCCCTTAATACCAGCCCAACTAGCGAAGGGAGAATATAACTCTCACAGCTGCTCAAACGTGTATTGATTAGCGATGATAAGAATAGATTATAGAGATACACAATCACACCGCAACGCCACAGCTGAGCTGTTGTCCTTTGAAAACCATATACTGACCACTATGTGTTTCAACGTGCACAGATAAACAAATTCATCTTTGACGGTGAGACTGCTGACGTTCAGTTGATTTGACCAACTTCGTTGATCCCCTACACACACTTGCCTTTCTACCTATTGGTATTGATTTCAAGTCCTTCTTCACCTAATTTAGCCTGGATAACTAGATGTCATCATCAGTCCACATACACAATAAGTGAGGATCATATAGCCTGGTAACTTGTGGTAGGGTGTTAGGTACAAACTGCTAAAGTGACCCTAGTACGATGGAAACAACTGTCCACTCTTGCATGTTTCTGAATAGCTGCAGTTCTTTACGAAGTCTTTGGGGAAATATAATCAAATGTCTACAAACCCAACATTTGGTCATTATAGTCTTTTGTGAATTTCTCGAGTGTTGTTAATGAAATACTGAACAGGCGAAGTGATATCACTCAGGGGACCTTTGAAAATCAGGAACTATTGAACAACTGTTTCCTCCTAGTCTGGGACTCTTCAGCGGTAGGTACCTATGACCCCTTACTGGAGGTCGAACTGAGAATC